GAAAGCAGTATGGAGGTTCCTCAAAATGCTCAAAATAGACATACCATTTGACCCAGGAATTCCACTTCTAGGAATTTACCCTAAGAATGCAGCAGCCCAGTTTGAAAAAGACAGATGTACCCCTATGTTTATCGCAGCACTATTTACAATAGCCAAGAAATGGAAGTAACCTAAGTGTCCATCAGTAGATGAATGGATAAAGAAGGTGTGGTACATATACACAATGGAATATTATTCAACCATAAGAAGAAAACAAATCCTACCATTTGCAACATGGATGGAGCTAGAGGGTATTATGTTCAGTGAAATAAGCCAGGTGAAGAAAGACAAGTACCAAATGATTTCACTCATATGTGGAGTATAAGAACAAAGAAAAACTGAAGGAACAAAACAGCAGCAGAATCACAGAACCCAAGAATGGACTAACAGTTACCAAAGAGAAAGGGACTGGGGAAGATGGGTGGGAAGGGAGGAATAAGGGGGGACAAAAAGAAAGGGGGCATTATTATTAGCATGTATAATGTAGGGGGGAGCATGGGTAGGGCTGTGCAACACAGAGAAGACAAGTAGTGATTCTACAGCATCTTACTACACTGATGGACAGTGACTGTAATGAGGTTTGCATGGGGCACTTGGTGAAGGGGGTCCCTATTAAACATAATGTTCTTCACGTAATTGTAGATTAATGATAACAAAAATAATGATATACTATGGTATACTTTTAAATCTTATAAAAGTAAAAATATGAAAAGCTGGATTCAGTAACATCTATGTGGGTCAGCTGTAGTGATATTTTGTTTTCTACCATATTTCAAGGTTTTAAGGAGAATGACTTAGCTTTCATATTTACATTTGTACTCTGATACAGCTCAGAATTTTCTAATTAGCAATTGAGGGCCTCAAAGTGGATCCTCAGATTCAAAGTAGACCCTTCATCTTCAGGTGTGACAGCTATGTGAACATTGTATTAATAAAGAGAAGACTAAATTAATGTAACAATTTTTTCTCAGACAACTCAGAGCTGCCCAGGGAGGCTGAATTACACTCACTGCATTGCAGATACAACACCTGTGTGGTGAAGTAATGTTTTTTCTTCCCTCTTTGTTATGGAGAAGAGTATAGGGCAATAAATATAGCCCTATATTTTATTATGACTGATTTGAAAAAACATAAAAAATAAAAAGTTGAACATAAATGCTGAAAATGTGCAAAAAAATACTTGAAATAATTAAGATAGCTTTAACATTTTTCCCTAATATTACCCAATCTGTGATTAGCTCTAATAACCCTAAACATTTTTTAAAACATCAAAGGAGCCCAAGGCTCCTGGGTGATAAGTGTCCCCAGAAACCTACCTCTTGTACATTTTTCTTTGCACTCTTCTAGGCTTTCAAATCGATTCTGGTTTCCTTCACATCCCCCATATACAAATTCTTCACACTTTTGAGTATGGATATTGAAAAAAAATCTCTTCATCATTGCTTTGCATGGGCCATCATCCGCTTTTAATGCACAAAATGAATGCACAAGCTTAAGTGGTGGTAACTCAGCATCTACAAGGTAAAAAAATGAAAGACATATAACTCTTCATCAACAGCGTACTAATGTTTATTTATTTCCTTTTCTGTAGATACTAATTTTAAGGAAAAGTACAGCAGCCATACAACAGGCTGATACAAGAAACCATGAAAAGTTTTCAGTTATAAAAAAGTAGATAAAGTTTATAAAACTCACCAAGTGAGACAGGTTTTATCAATTATTGAACTCTAATAGCTGATTATTAATCAATTATTAAAGCAAAATGGAGAATAACGTTTCTAGACTCTTGGTACAGATCTGGCTTAAACCCATACCAGTGGATAGATACGGAATTGAGTAGTAGTTGTAGGGTAACTGATGTGTTGACAATACAAACAAAGGGAGACCTTTTTCTAAATTCAGCAGTTTTTAAGGGCAGATATTAATGGACAGTTCTTTAAGTCGCTCTCCCTAATCCACAGTTTTATAGTTTTTTGTGTATAAACAACTTTTTAAAAGCAACAGTGTGCTCATATTCACACATATGTATATGCTGTCTATATTAAACAATTCCCTAACTGTGAAAATGTAGGTGTTCCATGTTACAAATACATACATATCATGATGCATTCTTTTATGAACCATGATTGGTTTTTAACAATGTTTAAAAAACTTAATGCTTTCTATGTTTTAAATAGAATGAGGCAATTCTTTTGACCTTGAGTTTTATTTTTTTTCACAAAAGATTCATTCACTTGTTTCAGTCAGTTTTGATTCAGTCACACAATTTTTGATCTTGGGAAGGGACTTGTACTTACAGGAAACTCAGTTGAAATTTTTAAATTTGATTTTTATCAAGTCTAATAATACTCATAGAGGCCTAATTTTAAATAAGTTGTGTTTTTTACAGAATCTACCTGTAATTTAGACTGTAATTAAAAACTGTAGCCAGTAGTACCAAGATAATAATGACCAAAGAATGCCATATAATCTTACTCTTTGAATATTGTCTATGAATTGAGCCACTGTCTTTCAGTATTCACTATGATCCCTTATGAGGGATATTGAAGCCTAAAATGACCAAAACAAATTTGCCCTTGAGAGGGCAGCAGGATTCTAGTAAATTTAAAACTGATAAGTATAGGTATCTTAAAAAAATGCAATTTAATGCCCTATAAAATAATTTACTTTGAAAAAAGAAGCATAAATCAATGTCACTTCAACCTTTTTACATATAATATTTTATAAGCATGAAATAAGAGGATAAGTTTTTGGATGTGTGACCATCTAGAAGGAAATCAATCTTTAATGTCCTATAATTTCAAACTTCTGTAAATTTTTTGAAACAGAATATATGGATATCCTAAAAGCTGGATTTTATAATTTTATCAAGTCTCTTCTACCCTTCATATTTTTGTTATCCTAATGATCTATATTGAATTAATGTCAAGTATAAGCCATAATTCAGTAATTTTAAGACATTTTGTGACAATGCAATTGGAATTAAAAAAAAATTTTCTCTCTGACTCATAAAATGATAAGCTAGCCTTGCAATCTTGGAAGGATTAAGAATATAGCTTTCTCTACATAACTGGTATATTGTGCTGTTTGATTCACTTGACATTATTTATGATCATGTGAATTTGATATCAATCACTAATGAAAATTCTACTCTTAAAAAAAATCCAGATTTATAAAATATATCCCCATGTTGATCTCTTTGATAAGTGAATTGAATTTTTTTTTTCAATTGAAATAAATAGAGCTGACAGAAATGATAGAATAGCAAATTTTCAGACTCAAAATTTGGTAAGGTAGAATAACATATAACAGAATTATTGTAATATATAGGCCTTTACCTACAAAAGATAGGGATACTTTCAGCACCAGTTTTCATGAAGCTGCAAACCTTTGACTAACACTGAATTTTAAGCACCTGTGCATTTTGTGTGTTTCATCTTTCTCTGGGGTTATGTTCAACTGACAAATTTTAGATATTTACCAATATGATATTTGTAATGATTTTTACACGATTAGTGTCTGTAAAGCCAGTCAATCTCTGTAATATATGTGTAAATTATCAAAGCAACTATTTATTGGCATATAAATTTAAATCTTGTTTCTTTTTCTAATTATTTACCTAACATTTTATGCTCATCGGTATCTGAAAATAAGTGGCTTCAAAGTGTCTCTCAAAGCATATCAAAAGTTTCTGGTGCCCAATAGTATGGATACTTTAAAATTATAATTTTCCTTAAATGTTTTTAAGACTTCCATGAAATTCTTTACTTTTCTTAGATTATATATACATAAGTACTTTTTTCCTATAGAAATTCAAAATACATATATCTAATAGCATTTTAGAGAGTTGAGAATATTTTCATAGGTAAGGCCCACAGTAAGTATCATTGAACTAGCACTGTTTGTGTGCTCTAGACACATTTTTATGGGACTGATAAATATCAGTTTTATAAATATCTGATCTTAAAATCAGATCTCAGAATCTCAGAGCCACATAAATAATTCTGAGAAATGAACATAGGGTAAAAATAGAATCTGACATTTTGAATCTTACAGCTATATACCATTATTTCTAAAATTCCTATAGCGCTCCTCATACAATATGATGGTCCTGATTCCAAAGTTAATGTTACTTTAGAACCTTACAGACACCAAATAATTGAAGCATTCTTTCAGACAGACACCTCAATGCAGATCTCCACCCATAGGGACCTTTGTAATACCGGAGCTGTCCTATATATTCAGGAAAAACTATTTCTTATAAATCAATTTTTATAAGATTATTTATCATTGATGATTCCTCTGTTTTTGACTATTAGTCTATTTGATAGTCCTTAATCATCATGCCAAACCTTTTATTTTATTTACATTTTTTATAATAAGGATACACCATCTCAAACTAACCTGCTATTTAGAATGTTACCGCCAGGTGGTAGCAGCGTACCACGAAAATGAACGGTAGGCCATGGAAGTTAACAGGCAGCAGTCCTTAAAGTAATAATAGCCAATGTTTGCTGAGTCATTACTATGCTTCAGAGATTTTGTAATTAAGTTATTTGATGTAGTCACAACTTCTAAATTAAGCATTATTGTCTCCATTTTACAAATTATAAAATAGTACTGCATAAATTAATCGTTCAATTCATACCATAAGTGATGGTTTTAAAATTGACCCCCAGATGGTATTATACCAGATATCTCACACATTCTTACTGAGTGATATAGTCACATATCTGCGTTACTGAGATTTCTAAATTGGCATTTGGATCAAGCACACTGATAGCAGTTTCTACTCAATAATTTTTTTCAAAATTTGCTTTATGAAAACTGGTTTCAATGATGACAGTGCATAAAGATTCTTCAGCAATTTCCTAAAGAAAACACTCACTTTTAAAACTATACTTTGATTGTAAAACTGTTCATCTTTACCATTCCCATTTTAATGTATTTCTTAAATGAATCCTGTATTTGAGTCATCTGATGTTTTGTGCAGTGAGCTTGTGACCCACACTTGGGCGCAGGATCCCAGAAGTGGAGGAGGGAACAGATGTGCTCTCCTGGACACAGTGCCATGACACTCCACTCAAAGGGGATGGAAATCTGTTTTGGGCTTCATTTCTTACTTTTGGTAGATATTTTTGGAAATTAATATTCGTGTGTTGATCATGTGTCAGGCACCATGCTGTCATGGAAGACATGAAACTCTTTCAGGAGCATGCAGATACTGAGGACTTTCTTACAGAAACATTCAAGAAGTTCAGGGTTCTGTGCAAGGGTATGGTAAGATACCTAAACTTGTCTGAGAGGGTTGGGGAGAACATTCCTGAGACTTGAAACTGAGACTTGAAGAAAGTTGTTGGTGACAAGGATCTGCCCACAGTCTGAAACTGGAGAACACGTACAATGTAATGTAACAGGCAATGAAACAGAAATTTAATGTGATACAGTCAGATCAATAGAATTATGGTTTATATTATATCATTTTCTGTAATTGATTTCTTGAATTTCACATCTAATAGCCTGAGAACTATAATTTCACTCTTCCCTCCCCCCATCCTGGAATGTTGGAAGGAAGACTCATAATACTGGGGACATGTCTTGGCCTTGACTGTTGAATCCTCCTTCTCCTGAAACTTGTTTGGTAACCTAGAGCTTTAAGGTGAACTTACTCTCTGAGTCTACACGCTACTTGACTGACTAAAGATTGGATTTCTTTGGAAGGGGAGCACACAGACATGTACTCTTTGCCTTCTCTGTGCCAGAAAATGTGTCGGACGCTTATATTCAGTTTATATAACAACCATATAACAAAGTTACTTACATTACTTATTTCCAGATTAGAACCCTGGGAGTCAGAGACCTTAGATAACTCACCTAATTCTGCAAAGCTACTGTATGCAAAGCTATACATGCAAACTTAGATCTGACTGATTCTGAATCTTAAGAAAGACACTTGTCTTTCTCTAAATGCTCCTGGCTAATCTCTCTCAGTCCAAAGGAATTTAAAAAATAAAAGCAAATCACCACTGTTTTTGTTATCATTTTGATCTTACCAAAGAGTTTATTCTACCCCATCCTCCTTGCTGGTTGGAGTGATTGAAAAAAAAAAAGTCTACTACTGACATGTGAGGAAAGCTATGAAATCATGTGTGTTTTTCTACAAAATGATAGTATGCTCTTCAGTGAAATGGTATACTCCATAAAATGATGGTATGACCCTGGCACATTGTGATAAATGGTATCTCCAAAGCTGAATTGATTCTGACGTAGGATCATGCTGTTGTAAGATTAATTAGAAATAAAGCAAAAATTGGATGAGCCTGCAGCTAGTTGGCTAAGTGGTCTCCAAGTCTAGCTTTAATATCAAAATGTTATCTTATCCCCCTGGGTTTGGTCTGATTGATTCTGGTTTCTTGGCTGACGATGATGGCAGCAATGATCTTAGCTGGCATGTGCTTCCTCTGCCTGACTGAGGGCGATTGGACTATGTGAATATTGGCAACACTTCTCCTCCCACTTCCCAAGGTGGGTTGCCTGCTTTTTCCTCGTTAGGACTAACTTTATCCTCCACTATCCTTTCTTTCCCCAATTTCCAGAATATTGGAACTTTAGCCATTCCTTTAGAGAAATGAGCCAAATGAAAGATTAGAGATCATCTCATAATGTCTAAATTCCTATTTTTATTAGGCACATTATAGTTCTTTACTTTATTAAATAACATTCCACTTTCAGGAAATTAAAAAAATTGCTTTTGGTGCTGTATAACAATAAGCCTTTCTTTTTCACTCATAGCTAAGATATGATTGGCCCTGTTGATCCCGGGTGGGTTTGCTTTTCATCCACTAGTCATCTAGAGTAATCTAGGCAGGGCCTGCCTGTGCAGCTAGGCTTCCAGCTGCGGGTCCAGCTAGCACACATTTTCAGATTTGCTCCATGTGTCGTTCTTGGGTGCAGACTCAGGTATTGTAGCAAGTACCACATGGCCTCTTCCCTGTGCCAAACGCTTAGATCACCAAACTTGGATGAGTTCCCTTCCTTTGCATCAACAGCATGCCCTATGCATGCCTCTGTCACTTCATTTACTATTTTATGCTGAAATAACTTGTCTACACTTCAGTCTCCCCTGTGAAACTGAGATTCTTGAGAATCTAGTTTCAGTCATCACTGCTTCTCTAGCACCTCCTACCATTTAAGGTGCCTAAGATGTATTTATTCAGTGTTTGTCAAAGGGAAGTGCATTGAACGAATCACTTCAAAGAGCTGTTAGAGGTATGAAATAGGAATGTATTTGTGGAAGCCTTTTATGCATGATAAACATATATACAAATAGAAGCTATCACTTTGTTCATATTCTGGGACTGTTACCAATGACTTGAGATTTCTCTCAAAATTTACTAATTTTCCACTAAATGTTACTTTTAAGGACTAAATAAATTATAGTAACAACCAGTGTATAGTCTTTTCCTTGTTCTATTGTTTGAATTTTAATATTTTATTTTTAGAACAGAGCTTTGTGGAATTAGAACTAACTGCTGCTACCCAGAACTAACTTGCATTACTCAGATCTGGTGTCCGGCTTAGTTAGATTCTCACTCTGCACTCATTTGGTTCTTAGTTTGGGAATCAGAACGAGAAGGAGAGAATGACCGAAGCATCGAGAGTCTGTATTTTTCTTTTCCTTCTCACATTTTCTCCAGTCAAGGGAGGGTGACGTGAAGGCTCCTAGGAGTTTTTTTTTTTTACTTCAATTTGCTCCTTGCAATTTTCTAGAGATACTTCAATGTTTGATATTCTAGCCTATAAAAAAAAAAAGAAATCTTCTCTAAAATGAGTTTTTAGGGTCTAAGTTTATTTTTTTGACAAATTATATATGTTTCCTAAGAAAAGTGTCACTTTTAAAAAACCTAATTTTCCTGTACACTGGAGAAAAATATTAAATATCTGGATTAAAATTCAGAACTGTGCCTAGCTTTAAAAGAATATTTCTAACATTTCACCTGTAACGTTTCCATGTTCTTCACCTTCCTCGGGAACAGCATTAAGAGGGACAGAGGCACAACAAAGCAGCAGACATACAGAAGCCCAAAAAATCTCTTCTTTCTTCATTATATAAATCATCTCTGAAATACAGAACCCAGATATATCTAATAAATAAAACATTAATGTGGAATTATCTGTAGACTAATAGGAATGTTACACATGTCTCCCAATGTAAGTTTCTATGACATTAATGTGATTTCTTACATTGTCCACGAATTTCATGAGTCATATTTATAACATAGGCATGCAACATTTAATATTATAGCCACATACTTTCAGTACATATAAGTAATATTCAAATATGTAGATCATAATTCAATCTTAAAATTGAAATGGCAGTAATTGAGAGACATGGGTAAATGATCAACATAACTACGAATGTATTAAGATTAATTTTTCAATGCAATTCTATTTGCCATATCTTTCTCAGGGATGTTCTTTCTCAGTAAAAACTAATTATATTTTAATTTTTTTTGCATTTTTTTCTATTTCATTAATGCAACTCTCAATATTTGATTTCTCTTTCTTGCTCTGGTTCTTCTTTTAAAAAAGAAACACATTTTCTAAATTTTCATCTTTGTTTCCTTTAAAATATATTTCTGTTTTTACAACCAATTTCCTAATCTGGTTTTCTATGAAATAGCAAATAGAACTGATGAAAAGGAAGTGCCTAACATTCCAGCTAGTCCTTTACCTCAGTTCTTCCACCCTCAGTTTAGGGAGTTACCTGATTCAAGAGTTTCTCAGAAAAGTGACTTCAAGGAACAAACCAACATATTTTCATTCTGAGGGAAACATATCAGCAAGAGAGTGAGACTTCCTGCTGGAAAATGATTTAAACATGCAAAGCAAAAAAGTAGTGGAAAAGTGCATCTAAATTTTAAAAATGGTTGTTTCTCTTTTGGATTCAAAAGCGGAAGGAAATGTGCTTTGTTCATACAGCATGGGAAGAGAAAAAGAAGGGAACTTAAGCATATGTTCAGACACTGAAGCAGTCAGAGTCAGGAAGGGAAGAGAAATCTTATCAGTAAATATTCACAAATGCAGGAACAGATATTCCATGAAAAACAATTTACAGAATACTCTGTTTATGTCTATACTGAATCACAGCCAAAATCTACACTATTATAGTGCATGTAGCCTTACAATAAATAATAAAGTAATAAATACCATTTTGCTTTAAGCTGCATTAAAATCAGTAGTGAAATGTATACCGTTTTCTTACAACACTTTGAAAATGTGAATGCCTATTTTTTTGTCAGTAGCAGTGTTATATACCTTCTAAACCATATCAGAAGTTGTTGAATTCATAAATAAATATGTATGCTTATATATACATATTATTTTCAAGAGTCTATCAGCTAAACTTCATCTCATTTTTTAAATGCACTTTTCAGTGATGCTTGTATTTCCATTTGATGCTTTGAGATATACAACCCTATTATACTTTGAGAGTAGATACAGCATGTTTTTCTATCTGATAGCTTCAGGAGCAGGCTGAGGTTTGGTGTGCCTGCTGAAGAACTTGATAATTTGAGCTCTAAATCCATCAAGTTAGTTTAAAAAAATGGTGGCCTAAAGTGCTGCCCAAGTTTAGTAGTTTTAGACTTTCCTGGGATGCAAGGATTAAAAGCCATTTCAAACAGTTTAGGTTGAAAAGTCATTAGCTATTCATTTTAGAAAAGGTAGAAGCAGACTTGTGGCTGGATCTCAGTGCATAGTATGATGCATAGCACTGTTATTTCCTGAGTTTTAAACCTTATAGATTCTTCCATCAAAATAGTATGACTCTTTTTATGGACTAGTTTCAAAAAAACTTGAGAATACTACTGATAGTTTCAGTTTGGAAAAAGTGTCCCTCCTTTGGACTAATACATTCGAGGTAGGGAACTGAAAGAGACTAGCATGGATTTGGTGGACCCTAAATAAGTCAGTGATCACGGAGTGGGAAAATGTAATAAAATTGCTAATCTAATGCAAGTATCTGGTTTTGGGGTGGGGTGGACAGGTGTAACTCTCAGGAAGGGATTGTCGCTTCCAGGAGAAAGGAAGAGTCTTGGATAGATAAAACTGAGTGTGCACTACAGCGATAGCTAATTAGTGGTGGTCCAGAACTTGAAGTCATGCCAGCAGATTGCCAGTTCAGTGCTCTTCTCCACAATGTTGCCTCTGAAAAGTGACCAAAGCACTAAATTATTCAATTTCCCAGAGCAGTATAAGACTGATTTGGGCACGCCACTGAGAAAATAGTACAACTTACCATAACACTGGTGAAAGTATAATTTATGGATATCAATTAGAGTGAACTGATCTCATTACATGTTATTCTAATTAACTTCCTTTTTTATATTTCAGAATGCATCAGATTACATGCAAAATGGCAAACAAGATGATAAACCCAAACTGAAGTTGTGTGTCTGTTGACTCACTTCCCGCATGCCTCTGTGCCTTTCTGCGTGCTACTTTCTTGAATAGCTGGCCCCTTTTAAAAACATATACTACCCCACCTGGTAGCATACAGAATAAATGATTCAAGGGAATTCAGAGATCTAAATGTAAGAGATAAAACATTAAGTCATTAAGTCGTGTAGAAGAAGCATAAGAGAATATGTTCATGATGAGGTTGGCAAAGATTTCTGACTGAATCAGGATACATGAGCACCAATTGGAAAATAAAATACTAATAATTTGATTTCATTAAAATTAGAAACTTCTATTCATCGAGGTTCAAGCATCATTAAGACAGTGAAAAGAGAAGTTTTAAGAAAGTGCGTTTAAATTTGTAAATCTGAATATTATATATTGAAAATGTAAGATATTACAAATAACTATCCAATTAAAAATAGGATAAAGATTCAGCAGGCACGTCTCAAAACATAATATACATATAGTCAGTAGACATATTAAAAGATGCTCAACATAATTAGTCATCAGGAAAATACAAATTAATACTACTGTGAGATACCACAACTAAAATTAATAAAAGCTGACAATGCAGTGTTGGTGAGGAAAAGTACCTCCATCATCATTGGTGGGATTTTACTGTGGTCAGAATTGTTTGTGTTCCCACAAATTCTTACATAGAATCCTTACTCCCAAAGATGATAGTATTAGAGGGTAGGGCCTGTCAGAGATGATCAGGTCGGGAGGGGTGGGATTAGGGTTCTTATAAGAGACCCCAAAGAGATACATCATCCATTCCTCCATGTGAGGACACAGTCAGAAGGCACCAATTATGAACCAGGAAGAGTATCCTTACTTTTGCTAAGTCTCCTCTTACTTCTGATGTGGCAACAGCAGTTCTTTAAGCAAGAATATATTATATAAATGTGTTGTGTTAGTGACTAGTTGTGAATAATATGTTAGACACTAAGGGAGATTAAAAATCTAGAGAAAGCTTGACCCTTAAGGAATTAACACTTAACCAGTTGAGTTTAATAAAAATCCAATGTTAAGTGCCTCGATGAATTGTCAGGGTATCTTTGCATAAACCAGGCACATAAGAGTGGGTGATAAATACATGCTAAATTATTTAACTTGAAGAAAAATAGTATAAATATATTGGGATGATAAACTTGAAATTCTAAGCTCAGCTCTGCCAGGAACCTGTTAAGTAAACTTTTGAAATAAATTCATGTTTTGAAACTGATTCATTAAATGAATGACTTGGCCTAGATTGTCCTTAAATTCCAATTCTAAAAATGTATGCATTTAAATTAACACAGTTTACACACTTTGCAGAGTAATTTATAGTTCTGTCATATAAGTTACATTTTCTATTCACCTTAATGCTAATTTGCAGTGCCAGTTTTATCCCTTTAGGTCAAGGTGTATTCTCAGAATACTAGTTCAGCCAGATGTTCCTAGTTGTTACATAAAAAGATTATTCATATGTTAATACAGATCTACATCTGAGCTAAAAATGTTATATAGGTTTCTCAACTCTAGATCTTTTCTAGAATCTTTATTGTAATGTGCAGTTATAGCTTCTATAGGAGAATACAGTAATGCATTTCCAAACTTGTATGACAAGGGACTATTTTCCATAAAATATTTTCAGAAAATAACTTGAGAAATAATGTCACAGGTAAGGAAAAGTCAATTTTCTGAAAATACATGTTAAAATATTAACTAAAAGTATTTAATAAAATATTTAATAAACACTAAGTTTACTACTCTATTTAATAAATATTTAATATAAACATTAAAATAAACTATTAAAAATATTTAAAGATCGTGATGTACTCTGTGCTTTAATAAAATCCAACATGTGGAAAGATACTGAGCGGGCAAAATTACAAGTGGAATTAACAGCTAGACTGTTGCAGAGGATCAGATTGAAATAATGAAAAGGGGCTATCAGTGGAACTACAGAGAAAAGTGTGAGAGACTTTTTGAGTTAAGTATTGACAAAATTGAATAATTGAGTAAATACAGGATATGAAGGACAGAGGATTCAAGTATATCGTGAGGGAATTGTGCTAGTCAAACAAGTAGGTAAATTAGTATAATACTGACTGGTTTGGACATTAGGGATGAATTCATTCTGGACAGATTGAAGTTGAGGTTGCCTTCTAAGCGGAGCCTTATAAAGGCAGTTACAGACACAAGGCCGGGGCTGGAGGATGTTTTGCTATATGATTATCATTATGATCTATGAGGCAGAATCACTTCACCATGGGAAAGGATGCCCAATAAGTCATTCCCAGCTAAGCCTTCAATTTATTTCCCATCAGTCTTTCCCACAATTACATGGTAATGTGAACACTGCCTGCTAATCCCTTTGTAGAGTAATTAAGGGTAAATGAGGTGATTGGGATGGGCCCAAATCCAATATAACTGGTAGCCCTATAAAAAAGAAGAGATTAGGGTACAGATACACACAAGGGAAAGACCAACTACCTAAAAACCAGAAGAGAGGCCCCCAAAGAAATCAATCCTGTTGGTATCTTAATCATTTGAACTTCTAACCTTCAGGACTGTGAGGAAATACATTTCGATTGTTTAAGTAACCCAGTCTGTGGTATCTTGTTATGGCAGCGCTAGCCAACTACTTCAGACTGTAAAGCTTCAAATAGTACCAGTCTGTAACTCCCTATTTATGTGAATTTGACAACATATTTATCCTCTTTGTGTTTACTCATTTATAAAATGGATATTTTACTTAAATCCATCTCATAGGGTATGAGGATTAAATGTAAAGGAATTATAATAGTGATTAATTCAATAAATGTTAGCTATTATAATTTGTGTAAGTAATTTTTGACACCATTTTGGCTATACTTAAAAAACTAAAGGTCAGTATTCATGGCACTTATTCTCTGTTAGGAAAAAAGTTATCTCCGATTGTTAGTAAAAATAATTCACAGTATAACAATGATTTGGAAAGAGTTCAGGGTCAAATTGAAAGACTTTTTTTTCTAATTTGGATAGGTCTGGGAGTCAAGAATTGCTGTGCTACAAGTTGTAAGGTGAGGCAATGCAGATCTTAATATAAAGTGAATATTTTTCTAAGGATCTAAGTCAGTTGTAACTAGAAATATGTTGGCAATTTTGCTTCAGTGACTGGAAGAGAACAACTCAAAGGGAATAGCAAAGGAAATTGATGTGGATGAGAACTTATGACAGGGTTTAAAGAGCAAAAACCTCACTGAGAATGGAAGAGACCAATAGTAGACTGGAATCAGAGCATTAGCTTAGGCACATCGGTTTGGGAAAGGCATAAAACAACCTGTAGGCAGCTACTGAAGTAAATCTATCATTAGTTTTGAGGTATACTCCCTTATTTTATCATGTTTAAATTAACCTGGAAAAATCACACATTGTATTTACATATATATTATCAGCATGGTGCTTATATAATTTGAACTTCCTAGTTCAGATTTTCTTAATCACGTATCATTGAACTTTTTCTTTTTTGAAGTTTCACTATTAATTTCTAGATCAGTGAGTGCTTTGCCATGCCTAAAAGAAAGAAATTTCATTTTAGCTACTCTTTGTTTGTGACATACCAATGGAAGACTTGAGGAGATAAAATTTGACAACCAGAAAAAGAGAAAAAAATCAATAACTTGAAGAATAATTTCAATTTTCGGCTCAGCAGTGGCTAATGTTGTTATCCTTCTGGTGTTTATTACTGCCATCCACTCTATTTGGCTGATCCCTAGGTGGGCTACCCTTCTGTTTTTCTCCCTAACCCATCTGCTTTCTGGGCTGTTTCTCAGGTTGGGTGAGCGTGCTGCATGCTCACCCAGGGACGATGAATGAGGAGAGGAAAGAGAGTAACACTGCGGTGATGGGTGGAAGGGAACAAAAAACCTGTAGGGATTCTAATAGTTGTTTGTTTTCTTTCTGTTTTGAAACTACCTTTTATAAGTACTATTTTTAAATGAAAAATCCCAAATATTCATAATGAATGCATTCATATTAAGGTATTCAATACAATATTCATATTAGATTTTTGTTGAAAACATTTCTCACTAGGCTTCCAACTCCTGTTCCTCAGTGGAGAGTTACTGAACTTGCATAATCTGAGTGAGTGGTTTGAAAGTCAGATTTTTCTCAGGAAAACAGTGTTTTCTGAATAAATACATTGTGGGAATGCAAATATTTGGGCAGTTTCCCAAGAGAGGTCTAAGGCTGTGTAAGTGCACATTTGCTACATACCAAATTCTAACAAGTCAGGACATTGTTTATTTGTTTTAAATCTCTTTATTAACCTCTTCCCCTGGATCCCACATTTCTGGGACACTGAGTCATCACTATAAGCATATACTGGCATCAGGATTATTTATCTATGACATAAGATTACAATTAAGATAAAATATCATAAGGTTCTGACTACAATATATAGAACCTTTATTTTAAGAAATGATATTAAGAGTGCAAACAGATATCAATACAGAACATTTTTTTGTAATGATTTTTTTGAAGTAGTTACTTGTCTATTAGGTTACTATATCTTGACAATAATGCTGTACAGCTAATGGGATAAGAATACTAAATTTATGTTAGAGATACATGATTTATTTTCTAACATTGTATGCCTAGATGGCTAGTAAGTGACAGAGGCAGGACTAGATCCTGAACTTTCCCAAACTACTTAAAATAAGCAATATTTATGGAAAGAAGACCAAGCACAATTCAGAAAAATATAATTAAATAGATTTTACTTGTGTCTTTCTATATTTAATTCTCTTTGAAATATAACCTCTATTGTAACTTGGTGAAGATAATTAGGCAATATCACCAAAGGAAATACAGGATTAGAATTGGTTTCTCTGGTTTGCTAATCCTACATGTACAATTAATCAGCCAATATAAGTTTTTACTGTGATTATTCTTACAATTTTTTATTTAGTGAGTTGCCTAAATGGCAACTCTATTCCTGGATTCATCTCTATACTTCATTGGTGATTATATTTATTACTATGTAAATATTCCCCCCCATCATCCCCCTGTATATATACACATACACGCATGCGCACGCACACACACACACACACAAATGTATGATATGTATATATACATATATGAAGTTGATTTTTGGCCTATGTCTTAGCTAACCATATTACAGAAAGGGGTAAGCCAAAGGCCTTAAAAAATCTGGAGGTTTGCCCTTTACACCTGGGAACAGTACAGAGAAGTTCACCCAGCAGTCAAAGACTGAATGAATAGATTAAAATAAGCCTACACAAGGGTAGGCTCAAAGGCTTTCCTCTCATTTACCTAAAAGAGGTGCTAGAAAATCTGTTAAGTATCATATTTTCTCTTTTTTCCCAAACTTTAGAGGAAATAGAAACCATATATATACACATTTTTAGAAATCTTGACTAAAGATCAAAGTTGAAAAGAGCCAATTCCTATTTTATTTGAGCCCCATTTCAAACACGTAATTATAGTTAGCTCTTAAATTATCTGGGACTAATTTTCATAGTGTAGATTAAGTCTTTGTTTAGATTTCCTCCCCAGATGCCTGCTATTGAGCCACTTTCTTACCATGGGCTAGTTAAATTATAGTTTCATTAATAATAATAAATTGTAATGCAAATAGTTTCCATTAATGAACTCTTATTATTATTTTTCTTACTTATATCTCACATCCTAAGAGAATGTTGTTATCTTATCCCATTTGATAGAGAAAATAAATAATGGTTTAAAATGATAGAGTAACTTTTCCAAGAAAACAGCTTGTAAGTGACAGGGTAGGACTGAGGCAGTCACCACTTTACAATGGAATCATGTTTCAAACTATTGGTAGGATAAGTTTTTTTGAACCCTTAGCATGCAGTATTATAAAATGAAGTTGTATTAATAGGTCAGCTGGTAGAAAGAATGAATATAAGAGCCTCAATGCTTACTAAGGTAGGAAACCTTCAGTTAACTAGGCCAAGTTTGAGGCCTAACAACAATGCTGAATTGCCTATTTCAAGGTGGCTTTCCTTTGCTATCAGTACAAACCATGTAACAAAGCTTGAAATAAACCTTCCTTAGGTAAGGACACAAGCGATTTTTGTGGCTAAAGTTCACAGGAGCTCTCTTACTCTAACGGCTGCCATAATAAAATGCCACAAGCTATGTAGCTTATTGCTCACGGTTTGGTAGGCTAGAAAGTCCAAGACCAAGGCTCTGGCACATTCAGGGTCCTGGAGAGAGCACTCTTCCCGGCTTGCAGACACTGCCTTCTCTCTGTGTCTTCACGTGGCCTTTCCTCTGCGTGTGAATAGAGGATGAGAAAGAGAGAGGGAAAGAGAGGGAGGGAGAGAGAGATCTATTCCTCTTCTAACAAGGCTACCAGTCCTATCAGATTAGGACACTACCTTATGGCCTCTTTTAACTTTAATTACCTCCTTAAGGACATAGGTACAATATAATTGGGGGTTATAGCTCTAACATATGAATTTGGGGATGACATGGTTCAATTCATAGCAGGAGCCCTCCTCCATTTTAAGAAAGTGCCTCTAAACTTGGTTAGTAAATTTGTGTCTAAAGCAAGGGGCTCTTCCCTTTGTCATAGGCTGTGGGGGATCAGCCCTAGAGTATGCTTTTTAATCTGTAAGCCAGTTATTTCCTTTTGCATAATTACAAACTTTTATGTTCTATTTCTTGCTGCATTGTTAAGCCTGAGGCAGGACTAGCCATGGCCTACCACATTCATTTAAGAAATGTTGAAATTACCATATAAGAATGCTTACTATTCAGTTCTCCCAAATTAATGTGTTTTTGTTGTTGTTTACTAAGAAGGGACATCTGTTCTGAGAAAATAATTTTTCTAAGTCTCTTCTAATATGTTTTTAAGTTCATAACAAGAGGCAAAGACTTGGCAGGCCAAACAGACCCTCACTATCTAATCCCTTCTTTACCCTCTTTCCTCAACTGTTTGCATACCATACGTCAGAGAGCAGAAGGTACCACCCTGTATGTCAATTCTTGTAACTTGAAATTGGAGAATAATTTTCCCTCAGACTGTTAGTTTTGTGGGCTAAATGAAATTATTCAGAAGTTTTATTGTTTTAAATGGAGATTTTTCCCATAATTTTACATAATAAAATTTGTAAAAAAAAAACATACTCTAAGGGCCTAAAAGATAAGTATGTAACATTTGCCACAAGATTTTAGGAAAATGAGTAGTAGAAAAAGATATAGGGACATTTCCAACTACAGCAAAAGGAAATTCTGTGGTAATCACTACTCTTGGGTCCTCCTTAACTCTCCACTCCTGGAATTGTGCCCTGACTCAATCTCATAAATGCTATGAAATATTACTTCTATATAAAATTTCAGCTCAAATACCATTTTCTCAGAGTCCTCCCTTGAGTACCTGAGACAAAATACCTCCATGATTATGTTCTATTTAACTATGCTTTTAAAAAAATCACCTACATAACACATTATATATTTTTTTGCTTGTCTTCCCTCTCCCTAAGCAGACAGAACATACCTCCAAGCAGGAATTATGCCTATTCTGTCTGTTACCTAACAGGAGCTCAATAATGTTTAAGGAACAAACCAATGAATTAAGGAACCCATAAAAAAATGATTTTTTACAGAAAGCTCAGTCTCTGGAGAAATTTGAAACAAATGGACAAGATCAAATTATGTAAAATTGTATAAATGAAAGTGAACACAATTAAATTAATCCTTTATTAGAGAAAACAATAATTATTTAACTGATTATTTCTTTCTGTCTCCACACTTACTTCTCAGAAAACCTGCCCATATTGTCTGCTCGTAAAGTCTGCTCCCAGACCTCGAGTGGACAATAATAGAGTCCCACTAGCATCTGGTCACTTGTACAGAATCAGGTCAATTTCTGGTCTGTAAAGTGAGGTGTGGTGAAGACTTCCTGAGAGGGTCAAATAATGAGAGGTCACTAAGAGAGGCTTCAGTGGGGATCTTAATTGTACAACAGGGGGAAGAAATGGGAAGAGGGGGTTAAGTGTGAAAAAAAAAGTCTATTTATATTTAAATAATCATGTTTCAATCATTAACTATATTCAGAGAATTCTGGTATGTCCAACTGACAGTATCACCATCCATAATCATCCTCATTTACAACCCTTAAGAATTTGAGCCGAGTTTCATACTAAACCAAACGGGCTAGACTATCACCTTCTCTGTAAAAAAAATCACAGACTAAGATGGACAAGCACAATGTGTCAGATCATATCACACTATGATCAATATCTGAGTTGAACTTTATACTTAGTATTAAGTGATTAGTGCTCTAGATAATATGAAAATTGTAAACTGGAAGGAGTTAATATCTGGAAGATATATCCTAGGTGAAGCAAAATACCAACAACTTCTAAATTTCAGAGAGAAAACTTGAAAATTGGAACAAAAAGCAAAATGTGTGAGAAAGCTGATACTTGGAAGTTGGATGGAGAATTACTTTCATGCAATTTTCTTATAAGAAAAGAATAGACCTTTCATTAAAAAACTGAAATACATGAGAATGAAATAATGACAGACTATTTAAGATGCCTCAGGTTTTGAAGCACAAAGTAACCTAACCAAACAATATTCTAGAATACATAAAATTATCAAACATTATCATGTATGTCTTCCATATTTTATGTCATAACATCAGAAATATTTATCACATACATACAAAATATAAAAATAAGCTAAAAAGTCCTTTTAACCTGTATACCTGAAAGTTTTTATGAAGTGATTTGAAGTATATTCTGGAATATCAGAAAGCCAGAAGCTTCTGGATAAGTTTTGAGAGAAGAGGTGCCTTTGATATGTAATATTATTGGAAGTGGAGTTGTGGAGAATTGGCTTGATCTATGAGGAAACTAAAAGGTAAATTCAAAAGAATTTGGTGATTAAAATGATATGGAAGATGAGAAAGAAAGGAATCTTACACAAAGGGGTCAATGGATGGTTCCAGGCAATGAAATTAAAAAAATAACATGCTTAAGAACATGTTGCCTTAGCAATGTGATGGATGCAGCCTAAGGCAGTTTGAGTTTGAAGTATTTTTGAGACATTCATTGGAGCCATGAAATAAGCCAGTATGTATATGTGGAGCTCAGAGTAGACATGTCTGCTGCAGATAGAAATGTGAGAATCAATATGTAAATGATGATTATTCTGACAAATCAAAAACCTTAGAGACCAAAAGATCTCTCAAACAAAAGTATTTATTGAGCCTTTACAGATGCAGCCAGAAAAAGAACTGAGTCCTGGAAAGGAGGTTTCTGCTTCACTAGCAACAAGGCCAGTTAACAGAAAAAACTTGTCCACCAGACTCAAGAAATGGGGCACCTTTATGAGGGGTCTCAAGAAAAGAAAGTTGTTTAAATTCACTTTGGCTACAGATAAGGAAGGTGGGCTAATGGGATGTGGGAAAGTCCTTGGATATGTGGTTGTCTATACTGAAGGCTCATAGATTGGTTGTTGATGACAGTCACTGGTGATGTACAAGGGGGATGCAGTGGTTGTGGGGACCTTCTAGAGAACTGTTGAAATGACTTCATCTAGAAATGTGGAGTCTGGGTGGCTATGGCCTACAGCTATCGACTGATCATCTTCCCTTGTCTCTCTCTCTCATTCTCAGGCTCTTATGTCACCTAATTTGGGACATTTCAGAACTCTTCTTTATCATTTTTGTGGAATGGATGAGATTTATTTAACATAATTTATGTAGTCATTTGAAATGGAGCAGGCATTCTTCTTAGTGCTTTTACAAACATTAATTCATGTGATCCACATAGTGACTCTGAGATGAATGTGAAGACTGGGAAGGAATACCCTAGAACTGAAATTGGAAGAACAAGGATGAGGAAAACAAGTCTGAGAAGAAAGACTAAAATATAGCCTGGGAAGCAGGAGGAAACCTAGGAGATTGTTGTGATACAGACACTGAGGGAAATGAGTACTTCAAGAAATTGTCAGTCAGCAATGTCTAAAACACAGAAGGTTCAGGTAAAGCAAGAGCTAAAAAACTTGCATGGGGTTTAGTGACAATGGCATTGTCAGTACCCTTGCAAAATTCTAAAAGATTTGCATAGTGATGGGTAAAGCAGCAAGTGAGCTGAAGAAGGAACTGGAACAGAAGCTGTGAAAACAGCAGTTTACAATATTGTTCTATAAATCTCTGCTGCAAAGTAAGAGAGAGCATTTGAAGGGAAACTTTTGTGGAAGGTATTGGAGAGGAAGAGACAAAAGCTAAAACAAAAATATAATGAGTAGAGGATGAGATCCTGGGCAGGTGAAGAGACTTTAACTTTGGCCTGAAGAAGAAAGTATCTTCCATTAAAATGAGAGGTTTTATTTAGGGGGAGGGGAGAGGGAAATATGAGATATTTTCAGGTAGTAGAATGTGTGTGTGTGTCTGTTTTATTGTGGAATTGTTGAAAAGCAGATAGAAAATTGAAGATTTTCTTGCTGTGAAGCAATTTTCTATGTGAAGAAGAGGTTGAAATTGTTCAAAATGTCATGAAGGAGTGGACTTTTAAAAATGGTAAGGGTTACCATTTTCTTTAGGTAAAATAAAATGGGACATTGAAAACCTCTTATTTAAAGATTTCTGGGCAATCTCAAATTATAAATTCACAGTAATTTGTACCTTCAAAAATTAGTGCCTCTTCCCTCCAGATACAGGAATTAAACTTTTGAAGGATTCAGAGTTGGGTTTTTATCATTTGGATAGAGATTAAGGACAATAAGGCAAGACTTTGAGGAATGTTGGCAAGAGGAAATATATAAATGATAAAAATAAGAAAATGGCTAAATGCACATTCATGTTTATTTTAGCATAGAAAAAGTGTTACATTTTAAAATAATGCAGGTATAAATAAATATTATGGCATTTATTAGATATGACAGCACATCTATCTACCAGATGCAATAGTACACAAAGTTAAATTCATAATAATAATAACTAGAAAATAAAGTGGAGAATAGTCATAGTAAAATGAATGCTATATATAAAAATGTAAGATTGTAGGGACCAAAGGAAGGTTATCCCATTATATGCCATTGTGACATGCAGAATTGAGAAGGATCAAGGTCCAAAGGACCCAGAAAGAAACTTTGACCTCCTACCCCCACAACTGCATAAATACCTCAGGAGGAGAACTATCACAGTAGACAGCTATTTTATAATGTAAACTAGGTGTGGTGGACTGGGAGGGATATGGCTATATGTGTTAAAATTTCTCTATGCGCTCCATTATTTCTGTGTGACCCA